TGATAAGTGGATAAAAATGCCAAATCCGATCTAAACATCTGGCTGACTATGTGACCAACAACAATAATACATTAAACTCGTATGCTGCCCGACTCCCAATGACTCTGGCAGCTCACAACAATCAAACAAAGACATTCCATTAAAACTGATAAAAGAGAAAAGATGGCAAGAATGACAGACCAGATGCAATGAAACAAGGGGGGGGGGGGCTCACGCTCCCTCGCCAAGGATTTATTTATTTATTTATTTATTTATTTAACATATGTACGCATTATTTTATTTAATTATGACATTATTATTTATCTATATAATTGTGTGCTGACTGGGGAATTCCGGGAGTTGCAGCCCACACAACTTAAAGTTACCAAGGTTGAAAAACACTGGCTTAGCGAGTGGGGAGCCAGAGCCAGCTTTACTGGGGTTCTTTTCCTTCTTCCCTGAACCAATAAGACCAGAAACTCCTTGTTTAGAAGGTTTTTCCTTTCATGCATTTGTATTCAGATCATTTTCCTTATGTCTGAAAATAAGCGGGACCAGGAGTCTGGCATTTGCCCTCCTGACACCAAGATATTTCTCTGGAATTGTACAACTATTATTTTTTTCAGACTTTAGAAAAATTGGCCAAGGACAAGAAGGAAAGCTTTGACTTGCACCATTTATAGTCTGTTTCAACTACAGATATGCTGTAGCATAAGACATGACCAAGGAATGTTGGCTCTGGGAGGGAAATTAATTCAAACTTCTTCAAAAAAAGACAGCGTGCAGAAAAATTGCCTTGCAGGCACATCCAAAATTTCCTTGGAAGACATGCTTCAAAATGTATGTTTGCTCATACTCAAAGAGCATCAGGCCTTAACTGCTCAGTCTTAAGTTTGCTGCAGTGACCACTCAATGCACATACAGTACCTGTCCATAGGGCTTGCTTGCTTGTTGTGCAAGGAGTTTTCTTTAATAGTAAAGCAGTTTCCTGCAGAAGGCCTTTCATTCTTTCATTGGGTCATGGTGAAGAGAGGATGGAATTACTCCCCTCCCCTCCTTGAAGTGGATACAATTCTGTAGGAGGCTTAAGTTAATGTTCCATTTGTCTTCTAGGGTGAGTGTGGGAACTTCATCCGCCTTATCCAGCCCTGGAATCGAACACATTTGTATGTCTGTGGCACTGGCGCATATAATCCTGTCTGCACCTTTGTCAACCGGGGCCGCAAAGCACAGGTGAGGTGATGTCAGAGCATATGGCTAGAACTGCAGCCAGGTTGGTAGTAGGGAAGCATCTGGACTTGGCCTCAGCCTATGCTAGAAGAGCAGACCCCAGATTACACTCCTATAGACCTTGGTGGGGGAGGTTATATTCAACAAACCATCAGAGTCTGGCTTTGAGCACTGAGACTGAGCCTTCCTCTGTACCCCATGTCTAACCCCAAAGGCTTAAGGTATTATGCAGTAATTTGTCCTCTTGGAACAGCAATAATCTCTAGGACTTGACAGTAGTCTAAAGTCACTCACTCAGCCCCATGGATAGGTGAAGATGTAACCCTGAATCTCCTCAGTTGTAGTCTCTCTCTGTACTCACTTTGCTGTTGCAAAGTGAGAAAAAGGAGCAAATATGTAGGATATGTGATAGGGATAAAGTAATTATGAGCTGAGATCATTCTTATTCTTGATGCAATTTAGACTGTCCTCTTTAAAATGGAGGTATTGAACCATTCTCCCCATCTACTGAGTGTTCACTTCTTAGAAAATAAGTTCAAAGCTTAGTATGGCTTCCATACTACATATAGTTGGGGATCAATTATCCAATATAAAAAGTCCATGCTGAGAATCTTATGAAGTGGAGCCCATTAATAAATCCAGCGACATTAACTCAGGAACTGCTATTTAGAGTAGCGTTTCAGTACTCATGACTGCCGATATACCACAAAATATCAGACCTAGTGTGATATGTTTGGTATTTATTTACCATTTCTTTTCATGAAAGGTTGCTGCACAGATAGTTGGAGTGCTGCATTTGTTATGTTGCTTTTCTTTAGGTTTGTGGAGCAAATTTCTGTTTTCAGGAAAGGGTTTGGAAATCATTTTTGCTGCCCATTACCAGGACCTAGATACGATTGAACTGGAGATGGGGACAGTGTAACAATGTAATGCAGACCTCTTCTCACCCATATATCATGAAACTGTCTTTTGCTGTCTATATTTATATTAGGCATTTATTTCATATTTTGGTCCTACAGATCTTACCAGCAGCATTTGCTCTCACCATTGCTGGGAGCAATGACTCCAGTTATTATAGTGCTTTGTCCCAGCTACCAGGCGTCCTCCTATACACCTACAGATCTTTGAAAACAGTAGAACTTGAGAGAGCATGCCCACAGAGAAGCAAAATTCTTAGTCAAATAATGAATCTTACATAAAAACAAAGAAAAATCTCTGTCCTAGAAAACGGTTTGGCTCAGGAAATCAGCGCTCATAGTGTTGCTTATTCTGCTTTAAGTTTGTTTTTGGTTGGCTCTGGCAAATCCCTCAAAATCTGGAAAACACTTTCATTTTTAATTTAGCCTTATTTCCCCCCTTATGGTAAAAGAGTGCAGGTAGGATGAGCCCCCTATTTTTATGGGTCTCAAAAATGTATCCATGCTTAAGCTGTGCACATTATCATCATTACAGGAAGTCTTCCTGAAAATGACTCAGATACCTACTTAAGAAAATGTTTACAAATTCAGGACTGAGAATTACCTTTTTACGTTAGCTCAAAGACAAGAGTCTTAAGCAGACATCAAGCCCATCCAAACAGATGGATATACCGGCATTCTCCAGCCAATGCTAACACTTCTTTAAGCAAGTGGAACAGTCAGGATTTCTATGCTAGGTTTGGCTGCATAGTTCAAATCCCAGAGCCTTGCTGTAACAAATGCACAATCATGAATGTTTCCATTTGTATGTACTAGGAAATGTACATACCATTTGTATGCATTAGGATATTCTTTCTCTATGCTTAAAGGATGTAAGAGATTTCTGGCATTATGATGGTCCACACACCTCTGTCTTCTGTCCACTGGCAACTGAGGTGAGCTGGAGGACTAGTCTCTTTTCTGTAATGGTCACAACTCTGAAACATGGGTGAATAAGGGAGAACTGTATGTAAAGCTTTATGGATGTATAGCTATTTTAAAAATTTGATGAGCTATGATGGAAAATACACCTGTTTTACAAAAGCTTTTCCAATTCAGTGTGTCCATCATGTCCAACCGTGAGGATGATTGTAATGTAAAATCCCTGGAAGGTAGAAATTGAGGAAGGCTGTGTTTCACAGATTCTGATATGGAGATGAATTTTAAGTATTGAAAAGGATAATATGAAACTCATCCAAAAAGAACCCCAAAAGTTGAAGAAAGAATTGTAGCAGAATTAAAAAATGGGCTGTAAGCATCTGATGATTAATCAGGCAAATTATGCATCAGAATAAATCTTGATTTTAAGCATGTTGATTTTATTTCATATCTGTGGTTTCTAAAATGGACATCAAAGAAATAGAATAAAAGAATGTTGTAAGAGAGGAGAAAAATTGTAAGAAAATTAAATCTACATCATATTATTAGATATTGCCTGATGCAATGCATATTTATTTAGCAATAAACTGACATTGCACTGAATAGAGTTTAAATCCCAGACATGCCCAGAATTATGTCTTATGTTACAGTAATTGATCCAGCACCTTGGGAAATGCCATTGAAGTTGTCTAAAATTATGTCTTTAAAGGATTATTTGCATTCTGCACATCATTTGTCACTTTTACAGTCTGGAAGCGTGCCATGTTTTACTGCACTATTAATAGAACATTATCCAAGTTTTATTTCCCAGCAACCAGAGGTTTTGCTGTTGTTAACATGTTTTCAATTAACAGATAAGCAACACCATCTTTGACGTTAAGGGGACTGCATACTATGATAACTTCCATCCGGTGTGGCCTGGGACACCCCTACCAATATATGTAATATAAGCCTTATCTTCCATTTAGCACACCTGTAATAGTTTGTAGGTTTTTTTCATTGTATTTTGCTTCTACTTGCTGGTGTTAGATATCACTGCTCCTTAAAAATGATACAAAGGGAAACTGCTCATATAGCGGTGGAAAACATTTTCACCATAGACTATCTTCTCATAATCTTTTTCCTTAAAGGTTTGCCTAGTTTAACTTTAATACAGACCTCACTTGACCATTTTCTACCACAGGTTTCTGATATTATATTGCTGCTACGTCTTTCGGTTGCGACTAAATGATGAAAAAATAGAAGTACTGTTTTAAAAAATGTTAATGCTTCAGTCTTTTCTTCCCAGAAACCAAACAAAAAGCATAGTAACTATTGAAAAGAACATCTTTGCTTCATACTTGTTCTACTCTTAACCACAGTTTATGCTTCTATGGTAAAAACCAAGTCAATGGCCCACCAAATCCTGCTGACCTGCAGCTCTTACTCATTGACCATACTGACTAGGAGTTGTAGTTTAGCAACATCTGGAGCCCCAGGTACCCATTAAAATATTAAATATTTGCTAGCTATGTGGCCAACCTTTCTAGTTCTGCAACCTCAACAATATAGTTAAGATGCCTCAGACCTTCTCAGTGTAGAAGCCACCCGGGTATGACATTCTCCAGATGGAGTCAGCCCAGTAGCCCTGTGGAGTGACTGAATAGCTGCTATCCTACTCAGACCATAGAGAGGATATAACTCTGAAGAAGAACTTGGTCTCAGTGGTGATCAGTATGTGTACTTGACAGAGATAGTGAAGCGTCTGCATGCTGCCTTCTCTGGCCAGACCCTGCCATTCCTGCTTCTCTGGCAGATGCTGCTGCCAGCGCTAACTCTCTGCTCCTCCTCTCCTCAGGCTTTTGAGCTGAACCAGTCCATCCAGCAGGGAGGACGGGGAAGTAGAGCAGTTGACTCCTCCCTCCGCCCGTCTCCAGTGGAACGCAAGGTGGGAATTGCGCTCTGCCCTGTCCTTCCCCAAGGACAACATGGCTCCTTCCCTAGCATGCCCGAGCCTGGGCTCTCTAACCTTCATTTTCAACTGGCATGCACCTAACAAGCAACTAACAGGGGGAGGGCCAAGCGTTGCCAAGACACGCAGGTGCCCATCAAGCAATGAGCGCGCTTCCTGTACAGCCTCTCCTTGCGTCTCCTCTCTCAGACTAACTCCTCCTTCCCCAGGCTCACATAAGACCTGCGTCAAGAAATAAGTCTCTCAGGATTTTTGATATTCGCATGCATACAAGTGTATCCAACCACTTGAAATGCAGACACATGGGATTGTTATTTCAAGCAAATGTTGAACTGAAGAGAGGCTGCCTTATAAGTTGCGAGTAGTTTGGAAGGATCAAGGTCATGCTGAAGGTGGGAGGCTGGGGGTGTGGATTGGATACATTTCTGCATGCTGTATAAATACATGTTAATAGTATGAACAGAGAAAGATCCAAAAGTATGGATGCTATTTGCCGTAGCGTGTTTTTCTTTGGGGAATAAGCCAGTTGGACATGTACACAATTACAGATTCTAAATTAATTTTTTTTAGGGGAGGGGAGGGGAGG